GGTTCACCGACAAATGTGCACGCCGACAAAACCATGACGACAAAACCGCGACTTCAAAAGCGTGCCAATTAAATCGCATCGACAAATGCGTGCTGACAAAAGCGCGCCATCAAAAACAACGCGAAAACAACGCGAAAACAATGTTAACAACCATAAGCCTAACCCCAACCCCAACCCTAACCCTAACCCTAACCTAAAAACCCTAATCGCGCTTTTGTGGGCGCGGCTTTGTTGGCGCGCTTTAGTGGGCGCGCTCTCGACATTGCGGTTTTGTCGCCGCAGTTTCGTCAGGCGCACATTTGTCGGGTCACGGAAAATATGACAGGCCTGAAGTGCCCCAAGGTAAAAGATGGCTTCCAGATCTGACAGGTTGCTTACAACGATAAAACCTTGGTAGCTTGTGTCCCAAAGTGACGGTGTTGATTCTTTTAGATTTTTAAGAGCCAACAAATCAGATTGCCGAGCCTCCCCATCACCTTGCGAGAACCTGAGGCTCGCCACCAAAAAGGAACAGCTCTACCTCTTCAACCAAAGCTTAGCCGTGCACCATCTTGGCCTGCGGAATAAACCAGCCAGCAAAGAAGGTGGTGATTTCCCTCACCACCTGTTACTGGCTAAGGAAGTCGGCAGTCGAATGAAGCCGCAAGAGGAGTGGGAAAACCAAGCGGCCATCTTGGAACTTCCGGGGGCTGTCTTGTACATGAAGGACCATCATTTGGAGAACAGGCTGCAGCTGCTGAACAGCTCGGAGAAGCTCCGGTGTTTCTTGATGCAGCAGGAAGGGAAAGGAAGAAGCGAGGAAAGTTCAGATGAGACTTGGAGTCAGACCCTTTCCCTATCCCTGAGCGTCGGCAAAGAAGGGAAAAAGGAAAGACTCTGTCCAGAAGACTCGGTGGATGATACACTAGAGCAGCGGTTCCAGGTCAACAGAGAAAACCCGGACCGAGGAGAGGAAGCCACATCTGTGCAGGACCATGCCACGGAAGCACCTCTGGATTTATCGGATTACGGAAGGGGGAGAGAAAGTGGCTCCAACTGGCACCATCGGTCCTCAGTGAAACACGAAAGGCGAAGTCCAGGCGGAGATGAGAATGAGGACTCCGTTGCTCAGAAAACCTCTTGGTCCAGTTGGCTTGGTAGAACCCAGAAACACCATTACGGGAACCAACAATGGGAACAATTCACGGCCGGAGCCAAGGAAAATACAGTAGTTTCTCCGGTAAGAAATATATGTTTTCTATATATCTGTCTAATTTTGGCTATTTCTGTCCCATCAATTTCCTCTGTATATTCAGCTACTGCATTTTTCGGAATATAAAATG